TGTATGTGTATCACGTACACAATGTATGTTAGCTATCCTGGCTCCTTGTCAGACTGTTTCTCAGTCTTTCTTCATCTTTTAAGACCTTGATGATTTGGAAGGGGTACAGGCTCGTGTGTGTGTGTGTGTGTGTTGTGTGCACTCTTGGGTGCATGTATACGTGTGTGTGTGTGTGTGTGTGTGTGTGTTGTGTGCACTCTTGGGTGCATGTATACATGTGTGTGTGTGTGTGTGTGTGTGCGTGTACTCTTGGGTACAGGTATACATGTGTGTGTGTATGTGTGTGTGCACTCTTGGGTGCATGTACACATGTGTGTATGTGTATATGTGTGTGTATGTGTGTATGTGTGTGTGTGTTGTGTGCGCTCTTGGGTGCATGTATACATGTGTGTATGTGTATGTGTGTGTATGTATGTGTGTGTGTATGTGTGTGTATGTGTTGTGTGCACTCTTGGATGCATGTATACATGTGTGTATGTGTACCCACACTTTTGGGTACATGCAGAAGCCAGAGAAAGACACTGGGTGTCTTACTCCATTACTCGGCCTTATTCCTTTGAGACGGGTTCTCTCACAGAGACTGAGCTAGGCCAGCAGCCCCAGCAATCCTTCTAGCTTTCCCTGCTCCCAGCACTGGGATTGCAGGTGCAGATATGACCATGCCTGACTTTTTATGAGGATCCTGGAGGCCGAGCTCAGGGCCTCATGCTTGCAAAGCAAGCACTTGGTCCATTGTACCATCTCCCAAGTCCAAGTTCTTTTCAAAATCTCTCTCTCTCTCTCTCTCTCTCTCTCTCTCTCTCTCTCTCTCTCTCTCTGTGTGTGTGTGTGTGTGTAGACCAGAGGTCAGCTTCAGAGTGCTATCTCTCAAGTCCTGTCCAGCGTCTTTCCCGAGTGCCATCTCTCAGGTACTGTCCAGCATCTTTCACTTACCCTGAGCACTCACGGATGAGGCAGGCTGACAGGGCATTGCACCCCAGGGATCGTCCTGACTCTGCCTTCCCAGTGCTGGGATTACAAGAGCATGCCACCAAACCTGTTTTATTACGTGGGTTCTGGGGTTCCAACTCAGGTCTCCACACTTGCAGAGCAAGCACTAGACCAAGCAAGTCACCTCTCCAGGCCCGAGGCTGGTTCCTTGGTAGACTCTCAGAGTTCGGATTGGTTTCCTCAGGATAAAGGTGGGGCTGTTTTGATGACTTGATGACAGGAAAGATGAAGAATCAACGCTGAGCTGCTGGGACAGGCTGCTGGGAAGATGCACAGATGGGCACTAAAGAGGGGCAGAGTGAGAGCCAGGAACATAAGGGTCAACACATCAGGGAACCTTTCCCAGGTCTGTCCACGAATGAGAGCCCCAGAGAAAGCGGCAGAGACTGGCTGCCTGGGCCTGACATGAACAGTTGGATAGGACACACAGGTAGGAGTCGATGGGTGAAAGAAACAGGCCTGGATGACAGCTAATAGCTCCAGGGGTTTGGAATTAGAGTCCTCTCTCTCCCCCTCCTCCCCTTCCTCCTCCTTCCTCTAGGCCTTAGCTATCTGGATGGGAGGGTCCCAGGGGGCAGTAGGATGAAAACCAGATTTGAGGGGGCTGAAGAGAGTGAACAGAAGTCAGATGGCGAATGGTGTGGACAACAGCCAAACAGCAGAGGAAGAACAGAGGGAGGAGGGAAGAAGGATGAAAATAACCGGTCGAGGGTGATGCAGAGGCTGGGTGGCTTGGCCACCATTGTCCAGTGCTGGGCCACAATGCTGGGCCTAAGAGGTTTTTTGTTGTTGTTGGTTTTTTTTTTTTTTTTGGTTTTTCGAGACAGGGTTTCTCTGTAGCTTTGGAGTCTGTCCTGGAACTAGCTCTTGTAGCCCAGGCTGGCCTCGAACTCACAGAGATCTGCCTGCCTCTGCTTCCCGAGTGCTGGGATTAAAGGCGTGTGCCACCACCGCCCGACTGTAGGGTATGTTCTAAAATGCACACAGAAAGGCATATCCTTCTTGGTGAGCACTTGAAGAGTGCCTCAGGTCCGTGTGGGGAGAGAGGGTGATGAGCAGTGACATGGAGAGGGGGACAGAGTTGGGCCCACTATGCTGGAAAGAGGAGGGAGGCCTAGCCTGCTACACAGCTACCTCTTTGCCTGGGGTTTGGAAGTGAGAACTGTCAGGAAGGAGCTGGAAGGAGAGCAGGAATGTCCCTGCTCACCCTGGCTCTCCTCACCAGCTATCAGAGGTAGGAACCATTCTGGGGGAGATGAAGATCAGGACGCATTCACTGAAGGGAGTTCTAGAAAACGCCATGGGAGTGGAGGACAGAAAAGGGAGCCATTTTTTCCAGGCATCACTGATTCAGAATTGTACCAGGAACGGCTGGGCTACACAACCATGCATGTACCCATCTGGTGGCACCTGCTACCTGAGCACACATGAGTCAACCCCGCCAGGGATCCCAAGCGCTCACCACTTAATGCCATGTCACTGGCATGCATCACTTATTCCTGCTCTCTCTACTGTGGAGTTGTGTCATCCTTTGATTGGATAGGGCTTTCTCCGGGACACCTCCCTTGATTTTTTTCCATTAGAAGAACTCATTGGAGCATCTTTTTCTGCTTCCGCGTCTTTGCCTTGTGGTGTCTTAGGCACCTGAGGCGGTTCCAGCACAAAACCAGATTGGTTCTATCATGAAGTTCTACCTTTGTCCATTAGATGGCACCAGATGTCTGTGCGAGGCTCCCATCTGAGCCTTCAGGGTACCTTTGGGTCTGCAGCTGGCGGGAAGGGTCCTTTAGGAAAGATCGGTCTCCTGCAGTCTAAACTGGGAAACTGAGGAAGAAAAGGAGAAAGGGTGGGATGGAGAGAGAGCGAGCGAAGGAGTGGGACACTCGACTGAGTCCACACAGCTGAGGATGAGCCTCCAGTCTGTCACAGGTTCTTTCTACGACATGAAGTGCCCCACCACCCCAGGTGCCTGCCCTGAAGGCCACAGCTAGGGTCTGGCTGAGTATAGACCTTCAAGGTGGTGGCCCAAGGAGGCACCCTGCTCACAGTCTCAACTTGTCGCGTGTCCAGCTCGATCTCAAGCAAGGCATAAAGCCTCAGCCTGGGCTTTATCACAATGCTAGGAAAGTAGAGGCAGAATGTCTCTACCCTACTGAGTTTCCAGGATAGAGTCGACTCTATCAGTCTCTGTACAGACAAACCATTTTTCAGTGTGTAAGTTCATATCCAGGATGACTGGTCCCTTGGCTTCAGGGGGAGAAGGCAGACCCAGGTTTTAAAGGGCACTGGTTGGGGTTCTTCAGAAGAAACCGAGGCAGGGGTGGGATGAGGGTGGTTGTTAAGTGTCTCTGAGCAGCCCCTGGTCTGCTTCCAAGTAGAAAGCCCCCACACCGTATTAATGTTCTAGGGTCCAGGGGACTGGGGGGGGGCGGGGTGAAATTGTAAGCTATGAATCCTTTTCATGCTGAGCCAAGGGGCTAATCTGTTTCCTTTCCAGAGATGAGATAGGGAGGGGAGATAGGGTCCCAGAAGCAAAAGAGGGCCCCAGGGCTGAGCTGAGCCCGTTCTGCTATGATCGGAGTGTCAGGTACCTCTCTGAACAGCTGCTCTTAAATTTCCTGCTGCCCACCTTCTGGGAGCGCAGGCCGCTCCATCTTAGAGGCCCACCCTACAGGCATTTCTAGAATCCTGGAAGCTCTAACTTTGTAGGTAGTGGATTCTGAAAGGAAGGTGGGTGGGTGGGGTGAGGTAGGAGCTGGGGATGGCAGGGACAGAAACGGCTCTGAAATGGTGGTGTGGAGGCTCCCACTTACCCAGATCCAGTTCCTCACCACATCTTTTCTCAGCTCCTTTCCTGTCCTCACCAGAGTTCAAGGAAGAACCATGGCATGTAGGACTTGTGGGCTTGGGAAGAACTCTCCACTGACCCACTGTGCTCTGCTCCCTGGGCTTCTGAAATTTTGGGGCCTGAAGGAAGCAAGACAATGGAAGGTCCCCTGGGTTTCCAATAAACCTTGTTCCCACCTCAGAGAAAGCCTGAGCTGAGGCAGAACCTGATCGATTCAGGGTGGGGCTGTGGAGCCTGGGGAAGTCTGTGTGGGTGACCTTAGGCCAGGAGTTCTCAACCTTCCTTACCTGCAGACCCTTAAATACAGTTCCCCATGTTGTGGTGACCCCCAAACATACAGTTATTTTCATTGCTACTTTATAACTGTAATTTTGCTACTATTATGAATTGTAATGCAAATATCTGTGGTCCTCCACCCCCCCACCCCCGCCCCCAGACAGGGTTTCTCTGTGTAACAGCCCTAGCTGTCCTGGAACTAACTGCATAGGTCAGGCTGACCTCGAACTCACAGATATCTGCCTGCTTCTGCCTCCCAAGTGCTGGGATTAAAGGTGTGCACCTTCAGGGCCAGGCTAATTATCTGTGTTTTCTGATGGTCTCACACAACCCTTGTGGAAGGGTCTTTCGACACCAAAGGGGTCACAACCCTCAGATTGAGAACTACTGCCTTAGCCATTCATTTCTTACCAGTGCAGACCTGAGACGTGCGGTGGGTTCCTAAGCCCCTGCCAGGATGAGCTGCTTGGGTGGGAAATGAGCTCTCTATCCCCGGCAACTTCGGCAGTCCAGGAGAGCTGGGCAGTCAGGTCAGCGGTGTCTCTGGAGAGGCAGGGAGCCAAGGCAGAACCCCCACTTGACCCTGACCTCTTTTTCAGGTTGTCTTGCCCCTTTGCCACAGGGAGCCTGGGTACTTGAATTCGTGCGTGTCCATCATTTAAACTATCTGCACCTCAGCTAGGAGGGAGTCTTCTAAGAGGGGAACAGGCTGGCTTCCTGCACAGGCACTTCGGGACAACTGGGGTGGCTGGAGAAACTGCAGGTAGATGGCAGCCTTGGAGCTCCTCTGCTTCCCTCGGCCTCCCGCCCTCCCACCCAGCGCTGGGTGGAGCCACCGCCTTATAAGTAGCAGGCTTGGTGGCAGCAGCGCAAAGGACATCCAGCAGCTGGATCAGAGCTTGGGTCCCAGCATGGTCCCCTCGACTTGGGCCATCTGCTGCCTCCTAGGGAGCTTCTTGCTCCATGGGGGCAGCCCCAGTCCTGGTCCCAGCCCCAGTGTGCCCCGTCTGCGGCTCTCCTACAGAGGTACTGGCCAGTGCTGCCCTGTTCGTGTGTGTGTGTGTGTGTGTGTGTGTGTGTGTGTGTGTGCATGCTGTGAATGTCTGTGAATGTCTGTGGCTGTAGGACATCCCTCAGCCAGCCAGCGGCGGCAGCGGTAGAGCCAGGCTCTGTAGATCCCTTGGTTAGCCCCTGGATGGTGCTAAGGATGACTGTGAGGAAATAGAGACACATCCTAAGAGCCATGGCCAAAGTGGGAGACTAATGCAGGGTGGAAACTGAGGAGGCTGCTGCAAGGGGAGGGAGGGAGATGGAAATCCTGAGAGACCTCCGTAGGGATGGGCACAGAGCTGGGAGGGGGACAGAGAGACAGGCGAAAGGGAATGTATAGAGAGAGTCTGGGTGGACATCCAGGGTGTGGGTAGAAGTCAGCCCTTGTCCTGAGCCACAGGGAAGGGAGAAGCCTCTTCTACCTCTTGCAGCCTGTCCTGGCTTATCATCCAAGCTCACCTTATCATCCCCTCTCCACCTAAGGTCCAGGAGAGCCTCTGCTTCCCTCTGCCATCCAGCGTGGTGTGTGTGTGTGCACGTGTGTGCAGAGGGGGCCTCCCATCTAATCTAGCTGTGTGGTACCGTCTCCTTTGACGGTCTATGGGGAAAGATGCTTAAGACCAAGATTTTATTACAGATTCTTCTTCACCAAAAATGTATCACATTGATTAATTTATTCATTTGAGAGAGGGGTAGGGAGAGAGACAAGGGGGGAGAGAGAGAGAGAGAGAGAGAGAGAGAGAGAGAGAGAGAGAGAGAGAATGTGTTGTCCAGGTGCACATGTGGAGGTCAGAAGACAAGTTGCAGAATTGAGGCCCCAAGGGATCAAACTCAGGTTGTCAGGTTTGGTACCAAGAGTCTTAGCTCGCTGAGCCATCTCACCAGCCCTGCTGACTGCCCTTGTGGGGAAGAATCACCCTCCTCTGGGAACCTCAGTTAGAAGGTGGAAGGTCCAAGCTTGCTGTGGAGACCAAGGGGGAGCTGTGGTTTTGAGGGGAGATCAGGCTGCTAGAAATGGCGTGCAAGACAGAAGTGAAGAGTCCATATTAACCAAGGAGGGCTTCCTGAAGAGGCCAGCAATGAGTCTGGGGATGGTGTGGAGTGCCGGAGGAGCTCTAGGCTATGGGTTGCTCTGGGCCTTCCCAAGAGTGCCAAGACCACCAGCTCTTTGCTGCGGCATCACTCCTACCTCCCCAGGGAACTATATCAAGACCCACAACTCTTGGGGCCCTCGATCCCTCCATCTCTGGGGTCATCCGGCAGGGCAGTGTCTGTGAGGGAGAATGTCATTTGTCCACAACTCTGAGGCTGGAGTCCTGTCTGGCTGTGTCTAACCTGCCCTGTGCCGTGTTGTTCCCTCTGCCTGGACCTATCCACCTTCCCGGCGGAGCCCGTCTTGCAGATGTTCACACTCTACTACCTTCCTCCTGACTCTCCAAGCTCTTTGTTGAGCTTGTTGACATAATTTCAACAAACATAATTTGGTGGGGCTGTCTTCCCTGGGCGCTTAGCAAGGTACAGATAGGATCCGGGGAAGTGGTCCACTGAAAGAGCAAGAGTCTGAAGAATGGAGGAGGGAGGGAAACTGGGAATTTGCTTAGGGGTAGAATGCTTGGGTGCTGAACGTGATGGAAGGTGGCCCTAAGTCTGATCTCCAGGACCACTTTAAAATAAAAAGAATGAAGGTAAATCGGGCTAGTTTGGGTGGGAGCTGAGAGCTGCTTCTACTCTTTGCCCCAAGAACCATGTCCCCAAAGCCTTCCAGCAACCCTGTGCATGGCAACATTTCCCAGATGCACGTGTGCGGAGTGTGTACAGCTGGGATCCCCATTTGCACTATCTGACTGGGGTTGAGACCCTAACCCCCCCCCATCTCTGCTAGATCTCCTGTCTGCCAACCGCTCTGCCATCTTTCTGGGCCCACGGGGCTCCCTAGACCTCCAAGTCATGTACCTGGACGAGTATCGGGATCGCCTCTTTCTGGGAGCCCGTGATGCCGTCTACTCTTTGAGGCTGGATCAGGCATGGCCAGACCCCCGGGAGGTGAGTGGGACCGATGGGGGGCGAAAATGGGGCACCTCCAGATGGGAGGCCAGAGGGAGACTCGAGACTGTGAGTGGAAGGATACTGAGACACCGGCTGTATTTCAGGTCCTGTGGCTGCCACAGCCAGGACAGAGGGCAGAGTGTGTCCGGAAGGGAAGAGATCCTTCGGTGAGTGTTGTTGACAAGAGCCTTTCCAGCTACCCACTGCCAGGCCATGGCCTGCAGCCGCTCCCCTGGTGCCTCTGCTTGGAGCCTTTGGAGCAGATCCTGAGTGTTTGGGAGGCCTGGGAAGAATGTGACCTTCACCCAAGTCCTCAGAGCTGATACGAAGCAGGGCTGAGCCTTAGAACCCAAGGGCATGGTGCACTTCTTCCTCACCCTTGGGCTCCTCCCTTCTGCAGACAGAGTGTGCCAACTTTGTGCGAGTCTTACAACCCCACAACCGGACCCATCTGCTGGCCTGTGGCACTGGCGCCTTTCAGCCCATCTGCACCCTCATCACAGTGGGACATCGTGGGGAGGTGAGCCTGGGCCTGGCCCCATGAGAGACTGGGAAGCAGTGACATTTCCTCCCTGCTGTCTGAACGCTTCCCATTGAACCAGGGTAAGACAGAGGGGGCAGGGGCTTGAAAGGCGCCTTTGTGCTGGGGTGCTGACCCCATCAGAGAGGCCTTGGATGAGGATTTCTTCCCCCACCCCCACCCTATGCTCCAGTTGCATGCCAGGGTCACTGCCTGGGCAGAGGCCTGCTTCTCTCCCAGGTGACACCCTTCTGTGCCCTTTTCCTGTCTCTAGCATGTGCTCCACCTGGAACCAAGCACTGTGGAAAATGGAAGAGGGCGCTGCCCACACGAGCCAAGCCGTCCCTTTGCCAGCACCTTTGTAGGTGGGTGACACCAAGCCAGAGTGGGCCGGGAGGGTGAGAGTTGGCCTGTGGCACTGGGAAGGGATGGGCTGGTTGCTGGGCCTGGCCCTTTCCTAACTCTGGCCTCTTCTAGGTGGGGAGTTGTACACAGGCCTCACTGCTGATTTTCTTGGACGTGAGGCCATGATTTTCCGAAGTGGGGGTACCAGACCAGCCCTGCGTTCTGACTCTGACCAGAGCATCCTACATGGTGAGGCCCCCTGAAGGCAAGGCTGCCTGGGATCCATCCCTCTGGGTGACAGAAGATAGCTAGAAGGTGGCACAAGATGGACAGGCCACACCTCCAGCTCCTGGGGTGGGGGAGTCATGTGGCTTCTCCAGTCACATCACTGCCCTGCCACTCTCCCAGACCCCCGGTTTGTGATGGCTGCTCGGATCCCGGATAACTCCGACAGGGATGATGACAAGGTGTACTTCTTCTTCTCTGAGACTGTCCCATCACCAGATGGTGGCCCAGGTCACGTCACCATCAGCCGCGTGGGCCGCGTCTGTGTGGTAAGCGCTGTGGTGGGGTGGTGAGGTTCAAGATCCCTGTTGTGACCTCCTTCCTAGACTGTCCCTCCACAGTAGAGAAACTGAGGCAAGGACACAGCGCTGAAATCCATCCCTCTCCCTATGCTTGGGGTAGAGGAACAGGAAGTGGGGCCCACCCTCATGGGGCATGAAGCCAACTCCAGCCTCCCATTCCCCAGAATGATGCTGGCGGCCAGCGGGTACTGGTGAACAAGTGGAGTACCTTCCTCAAGGCCAGGCTGGTATGCTCTGTGCCTGGCCCCGGTGGGGCTGAGACTCACTTTGACCAACTGGGTAAGGGAATGGCCAACCAGGACTGGGTTCTGGGGGTAGGGAGGGCTCTGAGCAGGTAAGTCAGAACCCTGGCAGCTGCTATGATGCTAACGCCTCTCTCTGTGTCCCAGAGGACGTGTTTCTGCTGTGGCCCAAGGCAGGGAAGAACCTTGAGGTGTATGCGCTGTTCAGCACCGTCAGGTGGGCACGCTTTACGCCCCGCACCCAGCCACCTCAGTCTGGCTTCTCTGTTGAGCCTCTGCCCTCACGCCACAGTCTTTCCGTGCTTCTTCTCCCTGACTCGGTGACGCTGTGACTATTCTCTCATCTTAACCTTGTTTTTGTCACTGTCTCTGTGTCCTGCGTTCCAGTCTTTGTTTTCAGTAGACACTGTCATCTTCCGTATCACTTACTGATCCAGTTTGTATCACCTGCAACTCCCTCGGCCTGGCCTGATTATCCCTGTTTGTCCTTGGCAGTGCTGTGTTCCAGGGCTTTGCCGTCTGTGTGTACCACATGGTAGACATCTGGGAGGTCTTCAATGGGCCCTTTGCCCATCGAGATGGCCCTCAGCATCAGTGGGGACCTTATGGGGGCAAGGTGCCCTTCCCCCGTCCTGGCGTAGTAAGTAACTGCTTGGGACCAGGCAAAGGAGTCCTAAGTAGATGATGCAGGTGGTAGGGGTCGGGGGAGCCCCTCTGTAGGAAAAGCTTCCGGTTTTCATCCATCCCATGGTAGTTGTGGGCCGGGTTTCCAGAGGGTTTGGGAGAAGAGCCTCTGCTATGTGCTCCCCTGCCTGGAGGTGGAAAGAAGCCTGGCAGTGCCATCCTGGGGACTGCAAGTGTCCCCTTTATTGCCACTTGCAGTGCCCTAGCAAGATGACCGCACAGCCTGGGCGACCCTTTGGCAGCACCAAGGACTCCCCAGATGAGGTGCTGCAGTTTGTCCGAGACCACCCACTCATGTTCCAGCCTGTGAGGCCCAGGCGTGGACGCCCTGTCCTGGTCAAAACTCACTTGTCTCAGCAGCTGCGCCAGATTGTAGTGGACCGAGTGGAGGCCGAGGATGGGGTCTACGATGTCATCTTCCTAGGGACCGGTAGGAGGCAAATAGAGGTAGCCAGGTTTATGGGGATAGGGTAGTTCCTTCCTTCTTGTCTCACTAACCCTTGTTCCCCTGCTCCAGATTCAGGGTCTGTGCTCAAAGTCATGGCCCTCCATGCTAGTGGCTTGGCTGAGCCTGAAGAAGTGGTCCTGGAGGAGCTCCAGGTATTTAAGGTGAGCAATTGGGGGGGGGCTCTACCTCCCACCCTTGGGCCTGGGGTAGGTTCCAGGGGAGTGAACCCAGGGGAGAAGCTCGAAATATGGCACACACTGCTGAAGCGGCCCTGGGGTGCTTCTAAATTACTGGGAGAGCTAAGGTAGCAAGTGGACTGTAGACTCAAATGCCTGGTGCTTTCTGGGGAGGGAAAGCCTTATCAGGTTCAACTTGCAGTGATAGAGTGGGTGAGACGCCAAGTCCCCGAGAGTTCTCCTCCCCACATAGATCTGGACAGGGAGTGACTCTGTTTGGGAGGCTGTTTTGATTATGGACATGAGGCAAATGATTTAGAGCAGTTGGTTCACGGCTGGGGAACATTGTGGGGAGGGATGCTGGACCCCTGTGCCGAGTCTCCCGCTTGACCTGTCGGCCAGCCAGGATGAGGGGACATTTCTGGATGTCAGGAAAAGACTACCCAGCTGTACATTTATTTATCTGTCTGCACTCAATCTCAGAGAAATCTACCTGCCACTGTCTGCTCTGTGCTAGGACTAAAGGCATTCACCACCGTAGCCGGCCTTTGCTTTCATTTTGGGGATCACGTGTCTCTGTGTAGCTTAGCTTAGACTGAGACTTACTATATAGAGCAGTCTGGCTTTGACTTCTCCGTCTTCTTGCCTTGACTGCTCAAGTGCTGAGATTACAGGCAAGCACCACCTTTCCCCAACCCCACCCATCCTTTGCTGCCAGGAGGTACAGTGATCAGGTGGAGGGCAACTGGCTCCTATACCAGGTTTGGGAGATGTTGAAAGCAGGGATGCTGGACAGAGTCTTCACCAGCCCATCCTAAGACCCCCATCTCTTCTGCAGGTACCAACACCCATCACCCAGATGGAGATCTCTGTCAAAAGGGTAAGGCCCACCCCTTCCCCATGTCCCCTTTCCTAAACTTGCTTTGGATTCTGTTGGAGAGCTGGGCCCATCAGATTTGATTAGGTCTCGCAGCTAAGGCCGAGTCCAGCAGGGAGCAGAGTGTCATGTGTTCAGATAAAGTCACAGAAGCCCCTGGGGGAGCCTGGGAAATAAAATCCAGATTTCTAATCAAACAAGGTTACTTCGTTTAGTGGTATGCTGTATGCCCTTAGCCGTGTGTGTGTGTGTGTCTGTCTGTCTGTCTGTCTGTCTGCCTATAGGCTAGAGGATCTATCTCCTTAGTGTCATTCTTCAGGAGCTGCTCACCTTTCTTTGAGACAATTCATTGGCCTGGAGCTTTCCGATTAGGCTGGAGTGGCTGGCCAGCCGTCCCCAGAGCCACATGTCTCTGCTTCCCCAGCCTGGAGTTGCAGGCGGGGCCACCATACCCTGCTTTTTCACATGTAGTTTCTGAAGACTGAGCTTGGGTCCTTGTGCCTCTCCAGCCTCTGAGCCAACTTCTTAAACCTTTAAAAACTATCCTGCCAAGCTCATGTTGCAGTGAGCAGGAGGCTGAGTCTACAGGCCCCTGAACATTATCGTGGCAAATGGAGGGTGAAAATAAGAGAATGGTTTGTAGAAGTGGCTTCTGTCCTCTTAGCACATGGGGACAAACTCAGACTGCCAGGCGAGGTGGCAGTACCTTTACCTGCAGAGTCATAACTCTGGTCCAAATTTCAGTTTTTATACTGGGAATACTGTGGACATGCTACATGGGGCTGAGGACAGCTATGCGCGTGGCCCAACACAGAATTATGAACTAACTTTAAAACACGAGTTGGTTTTTCCCTCCCCTAGGTTTTTTTTGATAACTCAGTTGCTCACACATGAACTTTGCAGATGACAGTGTTATATCACAATATCAGGAGTTTGGTCATGCCTGCAAGGTACAATTCTGAAGTCAGAGGTCAATCAGCCAAAGTCCCTTAGGCTAGCCAGCAAAGGTTGACAGCAAAGAAGGCCCAAAAAAGTCTTTTTTTGTTTTGTTTTGTTTTGTTTTGTTTTGGTTTTTTGAGACAGGGTTTCTTTGTAGCTTTGGAGCCTATCCTGGAACTAACTCTTGTAGACCAGGCTGGCCTCGAACTCACAGAGCTCTGCCTGCCTCTGCCTCCCGAGTGCTGGAATTAGGCATGGGCCACCACTGCCCAGCTCCGAAGAAGTCTTATAGAAAAGCCACCAGGCCACCACCCTCCATTCACAGCCTAGCACATGGTCTAGAGAACATTCATCATCTCTAGTCTGGAAGTCTCCCTGAAACTGATGGGTCTCGGGAAAATCTGGGAGTTGAGAGCCTGTTGGTGAAGCCTAGCTCACCGCGGCTCTTCTTGTGTTCCTTCCCCAGCAAACGCTGTACGTGGGCTCTCCACTGGGCGTGGCCCGGCTGCAGCTGCACCAGTGTGAGACTTACGGCAGTGCCTGTGCTGAGTGTTGCCTGGCCCGGGACCCATACTGTGCTTGGGATGGTTCGTCTTGTACCCGCTACCGCCCGAGTTTGGGCAAGCGCCGGTTTCGTAGGCAGGACATCCGGCATGGCAACCCTGCTCTGCAGTGTCTGGGCCAGGGCCAGAACCACGACAGTGAGTGGTGGGCTGGGGATGTGGGTTAACCTGTGAGCTGGACTTCATCCCTGGGAAGTAAGGGCTTAGAAAAGTCCTATTGTCATAAAGTCCTCGGTTTCCCTATTTGTGGGGCTACACTCTTTTCGCACTGAGAATGTCTTGCGGGTGATGAATGTCTAAGTCGTCATCTGATGCCAATTAGTTTGTGGTCCTCAGAGCTGGGGTCCCTGAGTTCCCATGCCGACCTGACCTGGTCCTCTCTACAGAGGAAGCTTCAGGACTGGCGACCAGAGTCTTTGGCACAGAGTACAACAGCACCTTCCTTGAGTGTCTGCCCAAGTCTCCCCAGGCTGCAGTGCGCTGGTTCTTACAGAGACCGGGGGATGAGGGGACCGACCAGGTGAGTGGAGACCCCACCTTGAGAACTGCTTCCCTCCATGAACTCCAAACCCTAAGCTCTAGAAAGGGACTCTGGGGTGAACTGGCAAAGATCATCCTGAGAAAAATTATACCCCAAGGTACCTATAAAGACCTCTCCATATTTCTGCTTCTGGGAGTACCTAGGCTGGATGTAGCTACAGTCAGCCTCTCTAGCCTGTGAGGGGTGGGGCAGAAGTTGGAGAGAGGGAATGGGGTCCAAGGTGGTCTGCAAGTTGTGCTAACACATGGCTCAGCTTCGAAGGGTCTCTTCCCCAGAGTTTAATTCTTCTCTGCCTCAGCCCTGGTCCCTGACCACTATGTTACCTTCTGTTGCTAGCTGTATAGGCCTGCCTGGACCATACAGCCTGCCTACCACAAGTCAGTTAGCGAGTTGGGCAAGGGGTTGGAGATTGAAACACACATGTGTGCACGCATGCACACAGAGAGACACGGGTCATCCTTGAAACAAGAATGCCAAGAACGCCAACTTCATTTTGTTCCAGGGCAGCTCTGGCTCTAGGGATCCTTTCAGTTGCAAGCCCACCAGAAACCATTCCCCTGCCATCAGGAAGGTCTCATGCTCAGAGCAGCTACAAGCATAAGAAAACAAGTTGTTTACTCCGGCAGGCAAGGGGTCATAGAGAATTCAGGGTCTGAGGATCCACAGTCCCCAACACCTGTCGCGGACTGACTCTCTTGGAGATCAAAGACCGAGGGAGAACAGGGGTGAAGGCTTAGGAGAACCCAGGATTCGGCGAATGATAGACAGACACAACTCTAATGAGATTTGAATCTGCTGCAACTTTACTAAAATTTAAGCATCACTTTTAAGAGATCACAGAAGGAAGTTGGCAGACATAAAAGTTTCCATAGAAAAATGATTACAGACAATTGATTATTCCCAGCAAGTCTTGTGGTCAGGGCCAGGTGGGCAGAGCTTTTCTTTGAAATTTGTCTCACACCACTAACTAACTGTGCTTTTTCATGGCCCTAAATCATATCTGCCCTCAAGGTAACCAAGGTAACCCAAACACCATTCTTCAGGATTCCACCCCCAGGGTTTGTTTCAATATTGAATGGCTGGCTTCATGTTATCAAGAATATCTTGCCTTTTTTTCCTATCTAAAATGTACCAGGGGTTTCTCATTCTGGCTAGCCTCTCCATAAATGGTAATTCATGCCATTCCATACATTTTCCTTCATAATTTGCCCATCTTCTACCAAATCTCCTATCATGAGCTCTTTCTGTTCTAGGGTATCTGTAAATTCCCCCAGAAAGTGAGCCAGAGTCTTAATCAAGGGAGGGAACTGACGCATCAGTTCCTCCATATTCAAGGAGCCGTTAGGAATGTTTCCTGGTTCCTTGAACAGATTTAAGTTTTTGTCAAGAGAAAAATAGAACAGAAGAAAGGACAGCAGAGTCAATGCAAGAAACCATCGCCAGGAACAAAGTGAACGAGGTCGTTGAGGCTAATCAGACACCTCAACTCTGAGCAGACTGCCAGGGAACCGCCGGGGGCCAAGCTCCAAGAAGCATGAGCCCCTCATTTTGAGACGGCCACCACCTGAGAGGCATTTTGTCACACAGGCGAGACAGCCGTGGATGTGGCAAACACCTAGCCCTAAGCTTCTTCCTCAGAAGCCAGTTGTCCGGCCAAGCCCTCTTCTGGTCCCAACTGGGAAGGTCCATCCACCCCCAAGATGGCTTCAGTCTGGGGTGTGAGGCAGAGCAGAGTTGGGAAGGGTTTTCCCATGAGGAGGGAAAAAAGGAGGGGTTTAATTACAAGGGGGGAGGGCTCTTCCTCCAGCTTGGGAGCCAGGGAGGACAAGCCTGGGACCAGCTGCAGGGCTGGGCACTGAGGAGATTCCCTGGAGTAGGGGGAGCAACAAGATGAGGTTACACAATGCTAACCACCCAGGCGGTTTACCCTCAACGTGCAGATGCACAGACCAAAGCCCAGACGGGGTTAGTTAGTAGAAGAACTTGGGCTCAGAGCCAGCTCTTGCCTCCCACACTTGAGTGGGCACTTAGCCCACTCCAGGCTTGGGCTGTGGGTCTCACACTGTGGGGAAGTGAACAGAACAGACCGAGACAGGGAAGGGCCAGCATGACTGCTCGTGTGTGTGTGTGTGTGTGTGTGTGTGTGTGTGTGTGTGAATATGTGCATATTTGTAGAATTCTCCTTAGCTCAGAGTAAAACCTCATTAGACACACACCTAAGGATGGTAAATGTGAAAAAGCAGGGCAAAGAAAATGAGATGAATGTCCTCCCCAACTCCTTGCTAATGTCTCCTGTGCCCTCCTACCCACCCTGTAGGTGAAGACAGACGAGCGAGTCGTGCAAACAGAGCAGGGGCTGCTGTTCCGGAGGCTCAGCCGCCTGGATGCAGGAAACTATACCTGCACCACACTGGAGCATGGCTTCTCCCAGACTGTGGTTCGTTTTTCCCTGGAGGTGATAGCAGCTGTGCAGCTGGACAGCCTGTTCCTTCGGGAGCCAAGGCTGGAGGAACCCTCAGCCTGGAGAGGCCTGGTCTCTGCCTCACCCAAGTCGTGGTATAAGGACATCCTTCAGCTCGCTGGTTTTGCAAACCTGCCCCGTGTGGATGAGTACTGTGAACGTGTATGGTGTAGGGGTGTGGGGGAGCGCGCAGGCTCCTCCCGGGGCCGGGGGAAGCAGGCTAAGGGCAAGAGCTGGGCAGGGCTGGAGTTGGGCAAGAAGGTGAAGAGTCGGGTGCTGGCTGAGCACAACAGGACACCCCGGGAGGTAGAAGCCGCATAGAAGATGGCTGAGGAGGGAGTGGACAGGCTGGGCTGGGGGACTCAACACCATCTCCCTCCCACCCAGCTAGAGCAGAGGAGGCCAGGGCACCTGGTTATCTCTTAGAGATGGAATTCTCTACCACCTACAGGCAAGACTAGAGGCTGGTGGGAGGGACCGTGCACCTCAGCCTCCCCCTGCCCTTCTCTGTGTTCTCTGTCCCAGGCTGGAGCTGGCACCCCTTGATTATATGTCCCAAGGGGCCTGCTATTTGTTCTCAGAGATGGCGTGGCTTCCGGAGCACATTTCCCGTTGTGCCCAGAGGCAAGACGGTTGGGTGGTTCTTTCTCAGCTTGCAGAACAATAGCCATTCTGAGTGGGTGTATAGGTGGCTCTGAGGGGTGTGTTGGCAGTTCACCAGAGAAGGGGAAAGCAGCCTTGTAAGATGGCACTCACGAAGAAGCTCTTGCCCCAACAGAGGTGTGAGAGAAGGTGACAGAGTGAGGAGGGAGGGGAGCACTCTTCACCTGCCTCCATGGTTGGTTTCTGATAGACGTTTCTCTGCCTCAGCCCATCACCCTCTCATACTTACAGAGGAAGGGATTGCTGGAGCCTGGAGGTGGCCTGGCTCCCCCTTTACACCAGCATGGTACCCATTTACCAGGTCCCAAACTGTCAGGCCACGTTTGTGGGGTGCCCGCACCTCACCATCTGGAGGAGGTCTATGGGGTGGAGAGAGGGGAAGAAAGCAGCTGCAGGAGGCACGGGCTACTTCCTAACGGTGAGGTTAGAAGTGGGCTCCCTGAGAACTGCAGCCAGTGGGCGGGGCCAGCATGCTGGGCTTTGTCTAGGGTCACAAGGAACTAGAGAGGGGTGGGTCCCTGACAGGTCCCTGGCAGGTCCCTGACAGGTGTCCTCAAGAATCAAAGTGACATCAATTGGTTCAGGAGTTACTGGGTAGGCCAGACATTTCCAACCCTGAGTCTATATTTTCTGCTAGACATAGGGTGGTCATGATGGCTCATTTATACGACTCCCATGTTTTTCGTGGTACTTGGGGTTGAACCCAGGGCCTCACGCATGCTGGATTGCCGCTGTGCTCTGCCGCTGAGTTATAACCCAGCTCTCATTTTCTCTTTTTAATGGAGACCATGGAGAAGAAACTGGTGGAGTGGCAGTTCTGCTGTTCTAGGAGAGGCTGGGTAGCAAGGGCACATCTGGCCCAGGCTGGAGGGGAGGGGCTTTGCCATCAGCTGTCTCTCCAGCTGGGGAGCGGAGTGGGGGAGGAGGACAATTAAATGAAAAGCTATTCCCAGCCCGAGGGTGAACAAGTTAGTGACGCACAAGAGGGCAAGTGTGAGATCCCTCCTTTGAAAAGAAGGAAAAAGAAAAGAGGGGGGGGAGGAGAAAGCAAGATAGAGGTTCTTGTTTTATTGAAGTCCAAACTGTGGGTTTATTTCCTCTATCTGCCCCCCCCCCAGTGCTGGGATCTGAACGTGCACCCCTTCTCCACTTGCTCATCCGGCGAACAGCCCTGAAATCCACCCGCCCAAACCCAGATTCCCTTCTACTTGTGGGTGCCACCCCTTGGATATTGGTGGATTAAACAAGAGGCGAGAGGAATGGGTGGAAGCTGGGGGAAAGAAGGGATGTGGAGATAGAGGAAATGAAGGTCGTAGACCCTTTAGAAGGAGGAGGCCCTGAGAAGACAGAAAGTGGCAACCTAGCCCTCAGTGGCCTTTGGACCGACTCTACTTTGCCAAGCCCTGGGTAGGATCCTCTGGAGAAACATAGGGAGAAAGAAATTGACATCCCGAACAATGTTCCCCTCTGCTTGGAAATAGGACAGCTCCTGTCGACAGCCGCCCTCCCCATGGTACCGTGGTACGAACACCTAGGAACACTGCGTGAACTGTGTTTGAGCTAGTGTTTTGAAACGGGCCTTTTGGCTTCTCGGTCTTCCAAGCATAGTTACTGAAATTGCTGTTGATATTTTTATTGTCGTGGTTACTTTTGAGCTCTGATGAGGGACGCAGAGCCATAAAGGGATGAAAAAAATATTTATATCACCCAATTACATCATGACTGTTTCTGTGTGCTTTTGTACTAAACTGATGGATGTGTGCTACCAATGAGGAAGGAAGAACACTATGTGTTCCCGGAAATGGTCAGCAGAGATGGCATTTTCTAGCAGACAGGCAGTGTACGACAGCGGAAGAAGTCAGAGGGTTTTGCTCATAAAGCAGAGATTACTCAATACACAAGGAAAATCCTGTCCTGAGGGCTTATAAAATTGACCTTTCTGGAACTTCAGAAGATTTTGAGGGGGCAGGAGAAGCTGGCAAAGGGCAGACAGGCACGTAGGCGGCTCCGTTCCTTTTTCACAACTCCTAACATTTGTAACACTGCCTCTTAGCCTGGTACTGCCTTCATTATAAGCCATACACTAATGTATATTAAGGCCACCGAAATCATGCCCGGGCCAGACTAGATTACAGCTTCTGTGGAGGAGGGGAGGCCTTGAGAGTGAGCTACTGGGCCTGTTCAGAAGACTTTCTGACCACAATCCCCATTGCTCCAGTGACATCCTTCCCAAAGTCTACACTGATGCTAGGGGAAGATGGGGGAAAAACTACACGAACATTTCAAAACAGAGGGGGACAGCAACCTACCTCCCCAGGAAACTGGCTGTGACATCTAGCCTGGCTAGAGCCCTTGGAGAGTAGCAAAACAGGTCAGCCATTGATCTCATCTTGTAGGTTGACTCTGGAACCAGGTCCCCTTTTTAACCTGAGCCCCCTCTACGGACACCTAGGCTTCACTGAACCTGACGCTCCATTGCCCTACTTCAAACCATCATCCCCACTGACTAGAGGCATCGCCATTGTGTTTACTTGGTACTGGCCCAGCAAAGAGTACAGATGTGGTCCCCTTAGCCCCCCTCTCCCCTTGGCCACACTGTGCAGCCCCTGCTCCCAGCTGTCACTGCCACCCACGTTCCCAGAGTCATCGCCCATCTTTCCTCCCCTCACTTCTTAGCTCAAGCCCAATTTCCGGCCTCAGTAATTTCACCTTCTATCTTTCTCTTGCAGCTTTTCCCTCTGACTCTCATACTTCCTCTGCTGTCCAGACCCCTGGTTCCTGATCTCCCAAACAGGTTTAGAGCTAAAAGGAGGTGGAGACAAAGAGACTAACTAGTCAAGTGTCCTGTGAACTGTTAATCCCATGACCTCCTGGTTTCCACGGTCTGTCAGACTGCAGGATTTCTGTGTTCATTGTTGCCCCGTGCCTGGGGGCTACTCCTCTGTGGACTCCTGCAATGGCCTCTCACCCACCTCCTCTTTACTGTGGCGTGGCCTTTGTCTCTTGTTTTTTTTTTTTTTTTTTTTTTTTTTTTTCAGGGCTGCTAAGATCTTGTTTCTAATGTTCTGAAGAGCACATTTTTTAAAAGTGCTGATTAGATTAATTCCTTCCCTTTACACATGAGATTAATTTGTTAATCGTTGCCTCCCAAGTTGGTAAACACTGGAGGTCCTGACTCCCAGATGTCAGTTGATCTCCACTTCCTTCGCCCTGAAGGCAGAGCTGTAAACCCACTAGCACAGGAACTGTGGGTCTGGGGTCTTTCCTGCTCTGCCTCCATTCTCCTACCCTCAGCCTGCCTCCTCAGCCTCTTCTGCCTCTTCCAGTGTCTTGTATGGTTGGGGGGGGGGGGCAGAGAGGCTGTGACTGTCCTGAACTGAGCAGAGCGATTTCTCAGGGAGGGTGGGGAGCTTGTCAGAATGAGGGAGCAGCCTCTCTCTGTCTCAAATGGCTTCTGTGCTTCTCTTTGATTTAGTTAAGCTTGGGTCAGGTCCTAGACATCCCAAGAATCTCGAGGAGTGAACATATAGAAGTTACCAAGAGACTGTCTCCTTTAAGACAAACCTCTCTGTAGCTGGCAGAAGCCTGGCTCCCTGGAAGACCAATTTGCACACTCTGTCAGCCCAGGAAATGGAGGCTTCTCTAGGTAGCACCATGTTTTTTTTTTTTTTTTTTTGTGGGTTTTTTTTTTTTTTAGTTTTGTTTTTTGTTTGTTTGTTTTGTTTTTAGTTTTTCTAAACTGTATCTCTGACTGTCCTGGAAGTCACTCTGTAGACCAGGCTGGCCTCGAATTCACAAAGATCCACCTGCCTCTGCTTCCCAAGGGCTGGCATTAAAAGCATGTGCCACCACCACCCGGGCACCATTTTCTTAAAAGTAAGAGAGAGGTACTCAGAAATACTCCAGTTTTCACTGGAATAATGACTCAACCCAGCCCCACTTGAGTCCTGGGCTCAGGGGTGTCCTCCATGAGGAGAAGCTTGAGCACACACCAGAAACCAAGCTCCATGGTTTTCTAAGACTGCAAACTTAGGAGTCCAGGGCCAGATTTGGACACGATATCTGATAAGCTTGGGGACTGTTGGGGTCCCACCCGGCTCCTTTTCCGGACTCACCTTCCTCTCTGGTCTATTGGAGATGAGGAAAACGGCAATGGCCCTGCGCCCACTTACCCCCGCCCAGTCTGTTCACCTCGCCCCCTTTCCTCCAAGGCTGCCTTATAATGAAGCCTTTCACTTTCTTTGATGGAGTTTCATTAAGGAAATTTCTAGTTCCTCAACCTTTCTCTGTCGGAGGTAAGAACTGCTGCAAAGTCTCCAGGGAGGCTTGTAAGGGATGCTGGGATTTCTTCCTAGAGGCCTCCAGCCAGCTGGTAGCCTGTCCCACTGATGGGGGACTGCTGGGAAGAATAGGCTCCAAGGCTCTAATCTTACAATGGTATCTGTTTCCCATGAGTATACCATTGGACAGAGAGGAATAATCAGGGCCATCAGAAAGCTGTGACCTGATTAGGATTCCAAGGTGAATTAAAAAAAAGTTCTGGAACAGAATCCAAGTTTCTACCTTCATATAAAAGGGACTGTACTAGAGACACCTGAAGTCTGGATTGGCCTGTTGGGAGGTCAAGGCAGCTCTGCTCCACAGACAGATGTAGAGGAATGCCCTGTCAGAACAGCGGCTTGTTTGGTGGACATGATCTCATTGTGCCTACCACCTCCACCCGCCTCAGCTGATAAGAATCTGGGCCGTTTCCTGTAGTCCAAGGGTCTAGGACAATAGTGTGAACGGCTGTTCCAAATGGAAAGGACATTGTTCAGGGGAGAAAAAACAACACCCCAACACAAAGCCAAGGCAGGATCTGTCTAAATGTAAGAACCTGTTTACAAATCCACCATTTCCAAGGAGCGGAACACAATGGGGGATTGTTTCCTTGAGGATGGTGTCCATTCTAGTCTGATCCTGATGGCTAGGGATGGCTTTGATGGCCCAGACGGGTTTCAGATGCACTTAGATGGATGGACACTGATGGCGCGGATGCCTTCCTGTTTATCAGGCATGCAGGCAGGCTAGGGTCAAAAGCCAGGGTCAAGAGGGAGGGGCTGTCAGGCTTCACTCCTCCATCTGGGCCTCATGATGTCTGATCCTTTAAAATCGGGTTTCCTTGCTTAGTCAAAAAGGAGTTTTTTTTACATCTGGGGGCCTCCATGATACCGGAACACGGGGTGGGGATGGGGACTGACATCAGGGTCAGTGGAGATGTGACCTCACAGCATCTCTTTTTTTTTTTTTTTCCTCACAGCATCTCTTGTCTTGCCCACGCAATCACAGACTAGTTGTGTGGGTGTCTGCCTGTGTGCACATGTGTGTATGTATATGAGGTAGAAAGGCAATGCAGAAGAGCAATAGAATCATATTAAATATCCTTGGGACTGGATATTCCCACTAGTGGTGAGGGAGACAAGCCAGGGTTAGGAAGGCCACTTTGAGTCTAGAGGAACTATGCAAGTAGTGTGACCTGAATGGTAGTGTCATTGTTAGCTTTAATATTCATCTCTAACACTAACATAATATACCTCATGAATAAACTTGAACTAATGTGTTTAGGACAAGTGAGGCGCATTAATTAAAATTAAGTATAATTCCCCAAACAGAAGGAAGCTTTTCATAATCTCATTCCTCAACGTGCTAACACTGACCTCTGGTGTTTAATTCCAGAACAACATAATCAAAACCCAGTGAGAGTAGATAGCCACCTTCCTTGGGAGGTGGCTGGGCCGGGCACCATCAACAAGAAAGGCCAAGTTTAGAACACTGACTGCTCTTCCAGAGGTCCTGAGTTCCATTCGCAGCGTCCACATGATGGCCAGGCATCATACATGTAGACAGAATACTGTATACTTAATAAATAAATTAAAAAAAAAAAACGGCTAGCAAAACAGGTCTCTGCCTGCAAGGGGCTTCCACTCCAGCAGGAGAGACAGACCCAGAACTGTAGGACTGACAGAGGACACGGGCTGCAAGGGGACAAGTAGAGACCAGAAATGAGAACTCAGCAACGAAGAGGTGGCCATTGCATTCAGTTCACCATGCTTAAGAGGAAAGTTAGGGTTCTCCACTCTGGGGACCTGAGATCCAGCAGTTCAGAAAAGAACAGAGCAGAACGCCCATGGGTGGGGCACTGTGTGGGAGATGCAGCTGTGTAGGCCTGTGAAAGGCCACAGATACCAATCTTAAGCAAAAAGCTATCATGTGTTATACTGTGACTGATAGAAGGAAGGGTGGGTCTGAGCTCAACACTGGCAATGGCATAGGAGAGGGCAAAAATGTAAAAAACAGATGCACTGACAAGAAAGGAGGTTGATCAGGGAGGAGACAAAATGAAGCCCTGAGGTTTCTGGCCCCAGGAAAGGGAAGAGGCATGGGGGGACATGTGCATTGGAGAATTCCATTTCTGTCCTTCACAAAGGAATCATCTGTTGAGAGACTCAGTTATGAAACAGTCATGAGTTGAAAAGATACATCTACTACTAATTTGTTCCAATAGACTGTATGAAAAAAGCATTTCTTTTTTGTTGTTTTTTTAATATATGTATTTTATTGATATTTATTGAGCTCTACATTTTTCTCTGCTTTCCTCCCTGCCTCTCTCCTCCCCCCTTCAATCCTCCTCCAAGGTCCCCATGCTCCCAATTTACTCAGGAGAGCTTGT